TATCTATTTAAATGTATATGAAGCCACTGGTGAATCATTCGATGGCCTGCAGTGGTATCATCAGTACACAGATAACACTCAATTTTACCTATCCATTCCAGTACAGGTGATGCTATTCAGGTGATTAACCTGAAGGCTGTGAGACCTGAAAGATGGAATGGATTTGAGATTTTGACCCACAAGGATCCAGTGAGTAACATTCTTGACTCTCAAGATTCAAGAGCCAAGCCCAGAATTAGTGCAAAACTTGGGGTCTTCCTGAATTCATGGCTTTTGCTTGTGGAGCAGGTGGTGGCTATGATAAGAGGGAGCTTGGCATTGGTTCAACTTGTGGAATAATTTCATTCTTTCTCGATCAGGAGTCTTACGTCATTTCTTGTTGTATTATTACAATGGGATCTATATGAAACTGCTCTTAAAGACCATCCAGAAATTACATTTGGTCCAACATACTGATTCCTGGTTGCTTTCTGACGTAATTCAGGTGCTGGTTATTATCTTTAAAACTGGCAATGGAATGGGGCAAGTTATCTGTGGGATGGCCTTTCCCTTAGGACATCTGCCTTTTCCATCAAGTTAGATCCCTTTAACTATGGCAATCTGGTGGCACCTTGGAGTTATGCCATCTTTGTGTGTGCCCTGACCCTTTGAAAGAATCTCCCTGATGAGATTGGGAAGACCCCCCCCTATTAATGTTCCAGAGGGCTTTGAGCTATGATAGAAATGAGCCCAGCAAATGCAAGAATATGTAGAGTTTATGGGAAGTTGCATCATAGTGGTTGAGATACATGATATTATGATAGGATTTGGTTGCTTTTATTTATTTGGGTCTCACTAATTATTATTGTGAGCCACCTAGGAATGCCTTGTATATGACAGGCAACCATATGGGTTTCTAAATAAATAAAGTAATAAAGTAACTAGTTATTTCCTGGAAGGTATGTAATTCTAGCATCTTATTTCTAAATTAAGGTAACACCACCTTAATAAAATTTATTCACTACAGGTAAATGGAATGTCTAAATTAATTTTATCTTTTGCATAGGGTGCCACCAAATAGTGGTGGGATTCAATTGTTTTTTACTACTGGCTTTGTGGGTGTGGTGTGGCTTTGTGGGCATGGCAGGGGAAGGATACTGCAAAATCCCCATTCCTT